GGGGGAAGACAAAAATCTAGAAAATATAGGAATATATGGGGATTTTTTTTGTTTGTGTGTATTTATTTGTGTGTCCCAGGGCCCCTTCACTTTAGTAAAACGTGGTTTAGTGGAAAAGACCTGAGGCCCAAACCTGGCGGGTTCAAGCCTGGAAATTATCTGCCACGGCGCCCTCTCGAGGACCCAAAGCGGACAATTCACGAATCGACGTGTCACTGTTGGGGGTTCTGTCCACCCCCGATACTCCGACTCGATGCGGCTTCCCGATTCGATGCCGGCGGATCTTGCCAGAAGTACACAAAAAAGAGAACACACAGAAATGATGGAGGCAAGCGCAACATTGGCTACGCCTCCTGCTTGCTGACTGCTGTCGCACCGCGCGAGAATACTGTATCCGGTCAGCGACGGCGTGCAAACTGAAGCGTCGAACCACGTTTCTACGATGCAAACTAAATGGGGAGGAGAAGCACAAAGAGAAAGACGAGCAGAGAGGAGGTCTTCCTCTCCCCACCTTCGCCAGGATGGCCCAGCGCGCGAGGAGGGGGCCAAGGGCCACGGCTCTCTCCCTATGCGCTGGGGCGGCCAGCCCGATCGGACCCCGAGGGCACCCGTCGTGCCTGCGAAGCAGTTGCCTGCGGTCCTCCCGCTCCCATCCCAGTTCTTCCCTTCCCCTCCCTCTCGCCTCCCCTCCACCCCTCCATCCATCCCTCTCTCCCTCCGTCCATTCATCGGTGCCGGTCCAGAGTTCGGACGATGACGAGGAGGAGGAGGAGGAGGAGGAGGAGGAGGAGGAGGAGAGATTGGGCCGAATGCCACTGGGAATCTTGTGGAAGGAACGAGCCGCGTTACAGAGTCTGGCACAGATGCCTACGGCGAATCACTGTCGCCCCCCTGCCTTTTAGGATACGCCTATGTGACCAACCGTTTGTACAACATCTGGCCACGCTATTGTACCATGCCCTTGAGGAGGATGAGGAGAGGAGGGGAAAAGGAGGATGAAGAGAAGGATGAGGCGACCCCTTGAGAGCTTCTTGGGTCATTCTTGGGGCCTCCTGGGAGCTTCCTGGGGGCCTCTGGGAGGCCTCTTGGCGGCCTCCTCGGGCCTCTTGGGGGCCTTTGGCTCCTTCTTGCGGGCCTCTTTGGCCATCTGAAAACGTTACTGGCCCGTCTGACGTCGTCGGAAGCCGTCCTGGGAAGCCCTCCTTGGGCGATTCAGGATCGTCTTGAAGGCTATCTTGGGCGTCTTGGAGGACTCTTGGGCCGTCTTGGGGTCCTTTTAGGGCCGTCTTGGGAGCCTCTTGGGCCGTCCTCGGGCCATCTTGGAAGCCTCTTGGGGCAATCTTCGGGGCCTCTTGGGTCGTCTTGGGCCGTCGGAAGGCCGTTTTCCAGCAAATGCCCAAATCCTGCCCGCACCAACGGAACATTCAGTCATTTTGATTCTTCGGGCCTTCCTTAAGGACCGCCTGGAGGCTTCTCGGGCCATCTTAGGGGCCGTTTGGGATCATCTTGGCGGTCTTGGAGGCATCTTCGGACCGTCTTGGAGGCCATCTCGGGGCTATCTTGGGCTCTCTTGGAGCCATCTTGGCTGTCTTGGAGGCATCTTGGAGGCCATCTTGGCCGTCTTGGAGACGCTTGGGCCAACGGAGGGCGCAGTGTGTGCAGCTCCCCTGGTGGCCGGCGGGCTGGGCCGAAGCCCCAGGGGGAGTTCTCTTTGAAAAGAGCCTATATTTTGCCAGACATCCAGCACGTCGTGCACCCCTGTGTCAAGACCATGGGGGCGGCGGATCTAGTGGCCTTCGGCCCATTCTGCCACCCTGCCTGGGTCTTTTAGATGTTTCTTGGGGCCTCCTGAGCGCCTCTTGGAACAGAAGTTGGGGCATCTCGGGGGCCTGTTGGGGGCCTCTTGAGGGCCCTCCTGTGGATCTCTTGCAAGCCTCTTGGGGGCCTCTTGGGGGCCTCTTTGGGGCATCTTGAATGCCTCTGGGGGCCTCTGGGAGGCTTGTTAGTACCTGCTGGCTGTCTCGGGGGCTATCTTGTGGCGGATGGCTCTAAATGGCCGTCAGCGCCTGCGCCGCGGTGGCGTCCGAACTCTCGGGCGCCCGCAGAAGCGGCGAGCGCCCGCGTCGACAGACCGCCGCGGGCTCGAGGGAGACTTGTTTGTGGTTTGTTTGGAGGACGTTTTAATTATAGTTAGTTTGTAGGTTATTACTCATCGGACCTCCCCCAACCCAACTCGAAGGCCCCAATCTGCCCTCCCTTTCCAGTGGGGGGGGGGTCGGGGAACATTGAAAAAACACATGGAACCCGTACCCCTCCCAACCCGACATGCGGGTCAGATTCGGGTCTTCGGGTTGGGTTGGGGTGGTCTGGTAGGTAGTCAGCAGAGTGAGGATGAGCACGTTTCCGAGGTTGCCCTTGCATCCTTCCCCTCCTGCGCATGCTTGGCCGCTCTCGCTGGCCGCGCCCCTCTCGCGGGGTGTCGACATGGCCTTCGGATGCCCCCTGCAGCCTTGGCGGGCGTCCTCGCTGCACGGGCTGCCTGTGCTTGCAAGGCAAGAGCAGGGCCCGAGCAGGCCTGAGCACTCCCGTGGCCCGGGTTCGACCTCCTGAGTGCTTCAGGCTTCGTCCTTCGTTGTCTCCTGGCGCCGCTGCAGCCTCTCCCGCTCCTCCTCCGTCCCTGGCCTCCCCTCTCTCGGGGGCCCCCAACCGGGGTGGTGACCACACCGTGTGGTGAGTCGGTGGGGATTCGGGGTCACCACACGGTTTTGGGACTCGAGTCGTTCTCCGAGGACGCCTCGGGCGACCGGGGCATCCAAGGTTCCAAGACCGTGCGTTGACAGACCGTGCGGTGAGGTCTTGGGGGAGTTCGAGGTCACCGCACGGTCTGTCACCATACCGTTTCGGGACTCCAGACTCTCTCCCGCCTGCTTGTTCAGAGGATGAGAAGGTACCAATACCTCTACCCTTCCCCCGTTTTCCACTTTTTTTGGCCTCCTGGGAGGCCCTCGTCGCCACCACAGGATTCGCCTCGACATCCTGGTCGGAACGAACCCCAGGAGAGCTCCGGGGAGCAGCGGCATCGGTACCTTTTGGTTGCCCCACTCGTGTGCAACTATCAGGCCACGGACCCGCGGTTGCGCCTTCGCAATCGCTGCGACCTGAAAGTTCTTGGTTTAAGGCGGGCATATCCTTTTCTACAGGGGGAATATTCAAAAATAGTCCAAAAATAGTCAGGGGACGATTTGTTGACTATTTTCAACTATGCTTGCACATTTTTGGTGTATTTGTTTTAATGCTTCGTCCAACATCCGCCTGCAGGGGGACACGCCCGACCCAACTTTGGGCTTCTGGGGGCGCGCGTGTCGCGCACAGAGACGCCGCTGCCGGCCGGCCGCCGCCCTCGAGGTGAAGCTGTCCAGCACGGAGAAGCGGACGGCGCCGGGCGCCAAGGGCGCGGCCGCCAAGGGCTGGGCCGGCGACGCGTGGGGCGCGTCGGACGCCTGGGGCAAGGCGGGGGCGGGGGCATCGGCCGCGGGACGAGGAGAGCACACGGGCGCTCACAGGAGGAACACTCGGTATCGCTCGGACGTGTGCGTTTTTCCTTCGGCGAGGACCATCGAGGAGCATCCTTGATCATTTGGCGAGAAAGCCACGCACGGAACCGAAAAAAGCACAGGGAATGGACGTCCGAGCGATGGCCAGAGCATGTTCTTAGGCTTACGCCACACCGCCGACCCCTTCGTTTTTTTGGGCGTCGTGGACCTCCAAGAGGAGCCCGAGAAGGGCCGGACCTCCCTGAGGAGCTCGGGCCGGACGGCCCCCCCCTCCAAATCGACCGGACCGGGCCCCCGGGGGAGGGGTTTTGGGAGGGGGAAGCACCTCACACGCCGATGATCCCCAAGGGGGGCTTCTCTCTCACTTCGCGGGGTGCCCGTCCGGAGCACGCCGAGACTGGGCGTGGGGTGGTCTGCCCTGCTCGTCTGCCGCGCCGTTCTGCCCCGTCGTTCTGCCCGCCCAGTGGGCGCTGCCAGCGCCGCGTGGGGCGGACGAGCCCCCGTCCCGCCTGTTTCAGCGCCGGGACGAGCGTGCGAATTTCCACGAGGGCAATCAGCATTCACCGCATGTCAGCACAAGGCAACGGCAAGCTCAAACTCCGATGACCATAGCAAGAGCGCGCCATTCGTATACAATTCCGCGGGCCTCGTGGTGGTCTCTTGGGGCCGTTTGGTTGCTCTTGGGGGCCTTCTGGATGATTCTTGGGGCCCCCTGGGGGCCTCCTGGGGGCCTCCTTGGGGCTTCTTGGGGGCTCCTTGGGGCGTCTTGGGCCGTCTTGGGGCGCTCTTGCGCCGTCTGGCCCCTTCGGAGGCCGTCTTGGGGGCCTTTCGGTGCCGCCTTGTGGCTCTCTTGGGGTTCTCTTGGGCCATCTTTGGGAGCGTCTTTGGGCCATCTTGGGGCTCTTTTCGACCGTCTTGGGTCCCTCATGATGGTCTGTGTGGCCGTCTTGGGGCCATCTTGGAGGCTGCTTGGGCCGTCATGGCCCCCGAGAGTCAAAAAAGGCGAGAGCGCCATTGTCTTGCAAAACATGCAGGAAGATCATGGGGTTTGGCTCCTGGAGGTGCTCTTGGTGGCCCCTTTGGAGCCCTCTTGGGGCCATCTTGGGCCGTCTTGGGGCCGTCTTGTGCCGTCTGGAGGCCATGTTGAGCCGTTCGGAGGCCCTTTAGATCCCCACGAGGCCCCAGAGAAGCCGAAATGACATCTTCCGCCCGTTTCGGTGCGCTTTTGGGCCCCAGACGGGGGGTGCCACTTCTGGTCCGCTGATGTGGCGCGGCTTCATGGGGGGGTGATGGGCCTGTTTTCCACCACCACCACCACCACCACCACCACCACCACCACCACCACCACCACCACCATATATTGGAGGGGGGGGAGGAGGAGGAGGAGGAGGGAGGAGGGAGGAGGAGGAGGAGGAGGAGGAGGAGGAGGAGGAGGAGGAGGAGGAGGAGGAGGGGAGGAGGCGGAGGAGGGAGAGGAGGAGGAGGGAGGTAGGAGGAGGAGGAGGAGGAGGAGGAGAAGGAGGAGGAGGAGGAGTTGTTTCCTCCCTTTTTCCGAAGGCCAAAACAGCAGGTTCCAAGAGCTTTGCTGGGCATCTTCTGGCAATTTTGGTGTGTACGAAGGAGTCCCAGAATACAGCCAGGCACAGTGTATCTTCCATTCAAGAGGTACGCGTGGTGTTTTCTCTACGGCGGAAACAGGGATGTCGTTCGTGACAGCGTCGGCCTGCCCCGTGTGGTTGGTTGTTGCAGGTCCTGAAGAGGATGGCCAACCACACGCCGAAACGTTGAGGGCGAACTGGACCAGGGGTGCCCGAGTAGTTGGGCATACTCAGTCTGAGACCAAAGGAGGACCCCAAGGCAACCGCCTCTGCATCCACCGGCCAAGCCGGGTGGCATCCACCGGCCAAGCCGGCTGGGTGCGGAGGAGGGTGTGCAGATAATGTTTTGTACGTTGCATTTGTTGTGGTATGACGGGCAAATTACGGGTTACCAGCCGAAGCTTTCCAGGAGCTCGTCTTCGGCGGCGCAGCCTTTTTCCCCATCAGTCAGAGAGATTCCGGCATGCCTGCGCGTGTTGCAGAGAGATTCCGGCATGCCTGCTGTGAAGTCGGCTCCGCCGTCCTGTGCTCCAGTCAGTGCTGTGGTCACGGGGGCGGGGGGTCAGACATTCAAGGAAAAGGGGGCACCTGCGGCCAGTCCGCCAGGTGCCGACGGTGTCACGAAAGAGGGGGCAGTTGTTTCCTCCCTTCTCCGAAGGCCAAAACAGCAGGTTCCAAGAGCTTTGCTGGACATCTTCTGGCAATTTTGGTGTGTACGAAGGAATCCCAAAATACAACCAGACAGTGTATCTTGCATTCAAGAGGTACGCGCGGTGTTTTCTCTACGGCGGAAACAGGGATGTCGTTCGTGACAGCGTCGGCCTGCCCTGTGTGGTTGGTTGTGGCAGGTCCTGGAGAGGATGGCCAACCACATGCCGAAACGCTGAGGGCGAACTGGACCAGGGGTGCCCGAGTAGTTGGGCATACTCAGTCTGAGACCAAAGGAGGACCCCAAGGCAACCGCCTCTGCATCCACCGGCCAAGCCGGGTGGCATCCACCGGCCAAGCCGGCTGGGTGCGGAGGAGGGTGTACAGATAATGCTTTGTACGTTGCAGTTGTTGTGATATGACCGGCAAATTACGGGAGGAGGAGGAGGAGGAGGAGGAGGAGGAGGAGGAGGAGGAGGAGGAGGAGGAGGAACAGGAACAGGAGGAGGTGGAGGAGGAGGAGGAGGAGGAGGAGGAGGAGGAGGAGGAGGAGGTGGAGGAGGAGGAGGACCCCCTCCCCCTTCAACTTTTGGTGGTGGTGGAAAATGGGCCCATTAGGGGGGGCATAGGGGGACACATGATAATGGAAACCTTACATTTTACACCAAATTGTCAATCGTAAGATCTACGGGCCATGTTGCATTAGGGCTTCCGCTTCGCTCCGCGCTCTGCCTCCCGCAACGCGTACTTTTCGGACGTGGGATTCCTCTCCCTTCGCGGGGTCACGTCCAGAGCATGTACCAGCACCAGGCAATGGAGGCTGGGTTTCGGTCGGGCGTGTCCCCTACAGGCGGATTTGACGACAAATTTACAATAGTGAAACAACAGTCCAAAATTGTCAAAAATCACAAAAATCGTCCCCATATTTTTTTGACAAGTTTTTAATATTCCTCATGTAGAGGGACAGGCCCGACTTAAGGCTGGGTGGTTGTGTCAGTGATGGCGGTGTATCGGTGATTTTCGTGCTCTGCCAGGGCAGCTGGGGCAAGGGCGGCTGGTACGACGACTGGGGGAAGGGGTGCGGCAAGAGCGCCCCGTCCGGCGGGTCCGGCAGAGGCGGCGGCAAGGACAGCGAGATCTCCATCAAGGTCCAAGCTAAGAGATTCAAAGATTTGACGGAAGCCTTCAAGTGAAGGGCGACTGAGCACAATTGTGTGGTTCTTCATGGGAGCCTCAGAGGGTCCCCCAATTCCTTGCGGTTTGGGGGATTTCGTCCGGATTTCGTCGGATTTGGTCGACTTCTGAACGACATCTGGAATAACTCTGGATGAACTCTGGAGGACAAAGTGGAGAGGGGTGGTCGAAATTTGACGTCGAAATCACGTTTGTGATCGGGCCGCGGTTGTCCACATATGCTCCCATGAAGGCTCACCCGCAGCACAAGCGCGAGCGCGCGCACTCGTTCCGGCCGTGCGGCTTGCGCGGAGACGCAGTCTCCGGTCGCGCTGGAGCGAATCGAGACGAGGTGCGAGAACAGAGCGATGAGAGAGGAGGGAAGGGCGCACGCATGCGCGCGGCCGCGCGCGTGCGCGACAGTCGATAGCAACATCCGTGCTGGAGCTGGGGCCTCGTGGGGCCCTGCGGTGCCTCTGCGCTGCCCGAGGTCGGGAACCTGGCCTCGGGGACGACGACGGACGAGCTGCGGAAGGCCTTCGCCCGTGAGGGCATCGAGGACCTCTCCGACGCCTACATCCCGCCCGGAACGAGAATGACAGGGGGCCACGTGCGAGCCCTGCCCCTGCCCTCCCACGACTTCTGAGGGGGAGGGCGGGGTTCACTCTTCTCGGGAGCTCCCGAACGACGTGAGCCCCACCCTCCCCCTCGGAAGTCGTGATGGGGTAAGGGCAGGGCTCGCATGTGACCCCCCGAATGAAAAACAAAAACACATGCACATACGCTGTCGGAGCTCCGCGCGGACTCCTTGGGTCGGCGCCGGGCGCCCACGGCGCGCGGAGGAGGGTCCAGCTTACCAGCCTCGGACTTATCCCTATCCCTAAGATTGACACGCCCAAAGGCGATGACGATCTTAGGGATTCGCCCTCAAAAAGTAAGGAAATCCCTGAGATTGGCATCGTGATGAGGAGATGCCCAGCATAGGGATAGAGATATGTTCCAGGCTGGTAACGAGCACCGGTCCCAGAGATCCGCTCGGAGCTCCGAGAGTTTCGGGCTGTGCCGTTTTTTGTTTTCGGTCCTCCAGGAAAGGCCTTCGGCTTCGTGCGCTTCGCGTCGATGGACGAGGCCCAGCGGGCGATGTCGCTCGGGGCGGTCGTGATACGCGGCGACCGGGCGCCGCTGGAGCTCGCGGAGGGCGCGAAGCGCTCGGCGCCGGCGCCGGCGGCCTACGGGGGCTACGGCCCGATGGGGAAGGGCGGCTACAAGGCCTGTGCTGGGGCACCCGAACATCGAGGGACAGAAGACGCCGTACAGTCGGGGCGCTGAAGAAGGAGCCCTTTCCATTGGGGAGGGGCTCCGTGTTCCTTAATTGTTTCGCAGCTTGCCTCAGGCTTTCCTCAGGTTTTCGACAGGAACTCGAAGTTTAACTGATGGAAAAAAGGGGCCTCGTTCCTTACTTAGGGTTCCTTAGGTCAACGCCCCGACTGTAGTCCTGATTTCTCGCTTGTCCGCGCGGTTTCTTGGATCGGCGCCGGAGCTCCTTGTCGGCGCCTCTGGCGCCGCCCCTGGCGCGCTCCGCGCGCCAGGGAGGGGGTCCAGCGTCGATTCCAGAAATCAGCGCGGACCGAGAGTGTATGTCTATGCCATGTGTTGTTCCCGATGCACCCCTACATCCTACAGTCGAGACCAATGACCAGGATGGGCAACCTTCCCAAGGGTACCCTTGCACCCTTGCCTCTTCGGCCCACCCTGAGCCACTCTCGAGGGGCAGCCCCTCGCGACGAGCTTCGACATGAGCGTCCAGGCGCCCTGCATCCTCATCGCGCCTCCTTGCGAATCAGACCTTGGCCGTGCCTGGCCAGGGCCGTCCAGGACCCCAGGCGGTGCACTCAGGAGGGGAACCAACACACCGACGCAACCAATTGCCGAGCCTCTAGAACATGTGGGAAAATATCGGAAGTGGGGGGAAGACGAACACCCAACAAAGATTTACAACATAGGGGGAATCCAGTTCATTGTGTGTATTGATTTGTGTGTCCTTGGGCCCCTTCAATAGATTATGTCCTCCCAGCCGCGGCCCAGAGAGCGTGCGCACCTCGCCAGGGCCACAGGGGGCGGCTCGGGCCAGGCCCGGCGGCGGTGCACGGGGTTCCTGTCGTCCAGGTGCTGCCAGCAGTGCCCCTGGCCCAAGGTCCCCCCGGGCTTCTCGGGGGTGCCCAGGTGGCCTCCAGAGGTCGGGCCAGACGAAAGGGGGGGATTGGGAAAGGGGGGGATACGAAATCTGCTGCATGCAGCTGGTTTCGGCCCCACCGAGGGGCCCATTCCTCGATACATAGTCGCCTCCCGGCGTCGGGAGGCGCCGGGAAAATCAGCTACGTGAGCTGATTCTCAAACCCCCCCTTTGCTATCCCCCCCTTTCGCCCGACCCGACTAGGGCACCCCGCACGAGGCCTGGAGGGCCCCCGGAGGGCGCCAAGAGGGAGCGAAAAGCTGGGGGCACCCTGGGCCCGGGGTACTTCTAGCAGCACCCGATGCGTGAGCCGGGTCGGGCGAAGGAGCCGGCCACGCGCAGAGGGGGGTACACGGTGGTCGTCGAAAGCAGGCATGATTTCTCGATTCCCAGATTCCAATCTAGTTCAAGCGCTTCCTACTCCAAGACTCAGACTGCTTTTGCTGTGTTTGCTTATTCCTTCGGAGGGCCTGAACTCAATCTACTTTATCTGCCTTCCTACTTCATGCTTTATCTACATCTTCCGACTGGCGTGTAGGGGGCAGAGGGGAAGACCTCTTGGAGCACCCCTGCTTCTTCGAAGGCGCGGGCCTTCTCTGTAGATGTGAGGTCGTCGCCTTCTAAGGAGCAGCCTCCTTCTAAGAAGGCTTCTCCCCTACCCCTGCCCCCTTTTGTGCGCGCCGCAAGAGTGGGGGTTTGGCCAGGTGGGGCCAGGACAGGGATAAACTCGTCTCAGAGCATTCCGAAACGCTCCCCTCCTCCTCCTCCTCCTCCTCCTCCTCCTCCTCCTCCTCCTCCTCCCTCCTCCTCCTCCTCCTCCTCACTCCTCCTCCTCCTCCTCCTCCTCCTCCCTCTCCTCCCTCCTCCCCTCTCCTCCCCTCCTCCTCCTCCTCCTCCTCCTCCTCTCCTCCTCCCCTCCTCCTCCTCCTCTCCTCCTCCTCCTCCTCCTCTCCTCCTCCTCCTCCTCCTCCTCCTCCTCCCCCTCCTCCTCTCAGAGCTTCCTGGAACGCCCCGGGGCCGGCCGCGGGGCCCGATGCATTCTCCGGAGCTCCGCCGGATCGCAGAGGTCCCCGATGCAATCCCTGTGGGTTTCTGTCCCTGTCCCGGCTTCGCCTTCCATGGGAAAGGGGGGAGGGGGCTTGCGAGATCTGCTGCGCGCCGCTGCTCTGGGCTCCGACGCCAGGGTTTTGCCGCTCCAGGGGCACCTGCCGCTCCGGGCGCCAAGGGCTGTCGCCCCGGGGTAGCCGGCGGCGTGCAGTGCAGCTGATCTGCCGACCCTCCCCCCTTGTTGGGGATTGCCAAAAGTGCCCCTGGCCCAAGGTGCCCCCAGCTCTTCGCTCAATTTTGGAGCTCCTGGGGCCCACTGGGCCTCGTGGGGGCCTCCTCGGCAATCCTGGGGGCACCTTGGGCCAGGGGCACTTCTGGCAACACCCGACCTTGCTGTCCCCCCCACTCGCCCCCCCCCGTGAGGACGACGGCTGGTGGGGCGGCAAGGGCGGCTGCGGCGGCAAAGGGGGCAAGGGCGGCAAGGGCGGCAAAGGGGGCGGCAAAGGGGGCGCCAAAGGTCGGCGGCGAGCGAGGGGGGGAAGTGAGAAGTGTGGAGAAGGCCTTCTCAGAAGGCGGCGGATTTTCTCAGAAGCCCTCGCGCCTTCTGAGATTTATTTTTGTGTCTCCGGGGAACTTGGAACAACTTCTGAGAAGGCTGGGGGACTTCCGAGGCTTCTGAGAAGGCCCGCCCCCTCTCACTTCCTCCCCAGGCTCGTCGCCCCGAAAAGGGGAAGAGGTGTCGGTCAAGTTCGGCAACCTGCCGGACGGCGCCTCCAGCGACGAGGTCGCGTCGCGTGGGGGGGGCTCCGCAGAAGCGGACGGCCTTAAGCGTGCCCTCTGGGGGGGGGACGCGTGGCGTGCTCCCCTCCTCCTCCTCCTCCTCCGCCTCCTCCTCCTCCTCCTCCTCCTCCTCCTCCTCCTCCTCCTCCCCCGACTCCCGATTGTCTCGGGAGAGACGAACAGGTGCTGATGCCGCTCGCCCTTCCCTCGGCGCGGCGGCCGGGGACTCGTCGCCTCGACGAGTCCGGCCAGAGCGCGCCCCTGGAGAGCTCCGGGGAGCAGCGGCATCGGCTGTTTTCTGAAGTCCCCAGGCCTCTCAGAAGCCCCCGGGCCTCCGAGCCCCAGTCAGAGGGCCTCCCAGAAGCCTCGCGAGATGAGGTCCCCACGGTAGGGGGAGGGCTCCCGTGAGGGGTTTGGTGCTACAGGCGGCAGCGTGCTATTGAAAATGGTTTGGTGGCTCGATGCGTGAGTGATCTACCCTCCCCCAAACCCATCTATGCACGCATCCCGCCCTCCCCATGTCAAGGCTGGCCATGTCAGTCTGGCTGGCCTCGTGTAGCAATGCGGAGCAAGCGATGTACTGACATGTAGACTGGTCGGCACAGATGGTACTGGCTGGAAGTATGGCCTAGAGTGAATATACACATACACATATATATATATATATATATATATATATATGTATATATCTCTCTATATATATGCACGCGGTTTCTGCCGTGGGAGGCTTGTCCAGTCGCTATTGGTGATGCTGCTGCTGCTGCTGCTGCTCCTCCTCCTCCTCCTCCTCTTCCTCCTCCTTCTCACACCTGCCTGCCTGCTCCCCCCTGGGTGGACGAAGAGAGTGGAGGCTCGCTGCGGCCGCCTGGCTGCCCGCCAGCAGCGGCTCTGGGGTGCCGTGCGACAGGGGGGGATAGTCAACATCGTTCAAGCGATTCCTATCTCCACCCCCATCCCCACCATCCCACCACGCCAGCTCAGTTTGAGATGTGCCTCTCGAAGCCCGAAGGGAGCTGCTGCAACAAAGGGGGGGGTACATCGGCCAGTGGGGCCCAGAGGCGGAGGGGGAGGGGGAGGAGGAGGAGGAGGAGGAGGAGGAGGAGGAGGAGGAGGAGGAGGAGGAGGAGGAGGAGGAGGAGGAGGAGGAGATGGTGATCGGTTGAACGCAGCTCAGATAGGGGCGCGAAGACGATCGCGCTTGTCGCGCGTCGCGGCCCGGGCCCAAGAGCTGCCCTCCTCTCCAGGGGCGGCGGGGCGCAGGCGCGGAGGCTGCTACGCCGTGCGGGGCGCGATGCGCGAAGTTATCAGGAGGGGAAAAATCACACAGACACAATTCATCGTCGATTCCGAGGAAAATATGGGAAAATATGGGAGGTGGGGGGGAAGACAAAAACCCAGAAAATATGGAACATACGGGGAATATTTTTATTTGTGTGTATTGATTTGTGTGTCCTGGGGCCCCTTTAAGTTAGAGGACCCAGGCAGCAGGGGGCCGGTCACGGACTCTGCTGCACGTTCGACTAGACGTAAGAGTGACCTTTCGCCGGAGTGACCTTTGGTGCGGGCACAGACGGATCCCCAGATGGCTGAAAGCGAAGCAGGAGCAGCGGCTTGCGCGCCCAGGTTTGGTCCCCCCCGCGGCCCCCAAAAGCCGCGCACCAAAGGTCACTCTTGCCCAGGGTCACTCTTGCGTGTGGCCGATTTCTGCCCCGCCGCCTGGCGCTTTCCTCGATGCACGGGCGCCTCCGGCGCCAGAGGGCGCTGGGAAGTCCAGCTCCAATTACTCGGGCCGATGCACGACTCCTCTATGCTCACTCCCCCCCTCGTCCGGCCCGATCCCCCCCCCCTCCCGTCGCCTCCCTCTCCCCCCTCCCGTGGCCGGGGCACCGCTGGCGGTCCGGGGCAGCGCTCGGGGGGCATCCACGCAGGGGGGGGGGGATAACACAGCGCCCCCCGCCCACGGGGGCCCGGTGGCCCCCCCTGCCCAAGACTTCGCGGGTTCGCCCTCGGGGGCCGCCGCCGATCTCTCGGCGACGCGTCGCCAGTTTCAGGTCCGTGTTCCCCCCCCCCCCCCCCTGAGCCAGGGCCCCCCTGAAGGCCCTGACGCTGCCCGTCGTGGGGGAGCGGTGGAGTGGTTGGGTGTGCGTCAGGCGATCGCAGACATGGATCGAGGGGGGCGTGGATTGGCGACGGGTCCCGCCTCCAGTGGAACCCGTGGACTTGCGCCGCCGAGCGAGGCGGCACCGGCCGCATTTCGGGGAGGGCACCTCCCCCGATCCATGGATTTGGCGACCGCGCGCCTGATCCATGGATCGCCAACCCATGTTTGCGCGCCCCCGAGTGCGGCAGCGCTCCTCGTGTGCCGCTGCCAGCCCGAGCGCGCGCCCGGTCGGAGGTGCGGGAGGCCTTTGGCGCTCACGGGGTCACTTCCATGACCGACTGCTACATTCCTCCCGGGAAGAAGTTCGGCTTTCTCCGCTTCGCCACCCAAGCGGAGGGCGATCGGGGCAGAAACGACGAGTAGGCATACACCGCGGCTGCCCTTGGCATCCTCCTCGGGAGCGGTGGAGGGGGGTTGTGGGGGGGGTGAGGGGGGGTGAGGGCGGGGTTGAGGATGGATGGAGATGAATCAGGAGAAGGGCGGAGATACGAGACGGGAGGGTGATGGAATGAAGGAGGGAAGGAGGGGTGGGTGGAACGGGAAGGGAAACGAGGAATACCAGTGAGGGGAGGGAGGGGGAGGGGGAGATGAGAGCTCCATGATGGGCAATCCGACTGGTGGCCGCTCTTCATTCTGGCCGTGCTGGCGGAAGCTGGTGGGTGGAAGCTTATTCCCCGAGGTGGAGGAGGCAGATGAGGATCAGTAGGAGGAGGCTGCGGCTGCTGCTGCTGCTGTCGCCGACAACGATGACAACGACGATGACGACGACGATGATGATGATGCTGCTAGTGATGATGATGGTGACGGCTCATCGATGGTGATGGTGATGGTCATGCTGATGACGGCTCATCGATGATGATGTTGCTGATGCTGATGCTTGCGATGATGGCTATTGTGATGATGATGCTGATTATCTGGATAATAATATGAATGATGATGATTATGCTGATGATGATGCTGATGATGATGCTGCTGATGATGATGCTGATGATGCTGATGCTGATGCTGATGCTGCTGATGATGATGATGATGATGCTGATGCTGCTGCTGATGATGATGATGAGGATGAGGATGAGGATGAGGATGATGATGATGATGATGATGATGATGATGATGATGATGATGATGAGGATGAGGATGAGGATGAGGATGATGATGATGATGATGATGATGATGATGATGATGATGATGATGATGATGATGATACTGATCATGGTGATGATGATGCTGCTAATGCTGCTGATGATGCTGCTGCTGCTGATGATGATGATGCTGATTCTGATGATGCTGCTGATGCTGATGCTGATGATGATGCCGATAAGGGGGGGGGATGAGGAGGAGTAGGAGGAGGAAGAGGAGGAGGAGGAGGGCTAGGACGACCAGTGACAACCAAGACTCATTAACGATATTGCAATATTCCCCCGTTTAAGTTCCCTCTTCATAGGCCACTACAAGGATTTATTTTCACTGAGGGAAGTGCCCCGTTGGAAAACAACTGAATATCCGCAACTGTGCCAGAACACCACTCCTGGGACTTTCAACGCCGCGAATCACTGTTACGGTTCCGTCTTGACGATCCTGAATCCTGCCAGAACGCCATTCCTGGGACGTCACCACCGCGAATCAACGTGAATGTTGCGCCCTGACGTTCCGATATACTGCAGGAGCGCCATTTTTAGGGTGTGATCCATGGTAATTGTTGACATTGTTGTAAACTCTGGAACCGACTGTGCGCGGTGTCCAGGCGAGAGCCACATTGCGAAAACGGGCCGCCCTCCATCCGTGAAGCTCTCGCAAACTTTTACA